TGGACAAAAAGAATGCTAAGTTAACAAAAGAACTTAACAAAAGAACTACGTCAATAAACTACGTGTGCAAGTTGCTTAAGGTGGATAACCAAATTTTAGCTGATTATATTGTTGAACAATTTCAGCTGCACATTATTTGAACAATATGAATCAAGAGGTATATCCATGTGAAGATTTTTATGAGTTTGCATGTGGAAGTTATAGCAGAAATCGACCAGTACCAGAAAATGAAAAACGATCTACGATACACAAGGAAATGAAAGATGAATTAGACCGAAACTTAAAAAGTTAGTTGAACCTGTCGTTTGTGTCAAATTTTGCAACATCAAATAGAGCAAAAAAAAAAAAAGGTGATTAGATATTTTTAGAGTTATTGGAACAAAATTTTCCAAACGATACAGATGCAACAAAATTAGCCCAAATTTACTACAGTTCTTGTATAGATGAAGAATCTCAAGAAGCAATGGTAAAAATTTTATACAATTTTATTTTTTCTTTCAGACTGTTGTACAGATAAATTGTTAAAAATATATCGTTACTTTATTTAAAAAAATTTTTGTTAAAAACTACTGTTTATTTCCTTGGCAAAAGGAAATGTGTTTATGGTTTCAGTGGCTTATAAAAATAGTTCTGTATTTGTACGTGTTCATCTGAAGCAGAAGTGTTCTGAATTATTATAGGATCTACTTCCAGTAACACAGACAATTTCAAACTTAGGTGGTTGGGCGTTGTTACAAAATGCAAAATTTGACCCAGTGAATTTCAAATGGGAATCACTGGCTGGAAAATTAGCAGTAATTGGTGTATCAACAATTCTGAATCTTATTGTTCATAATTCACCAACAAATGCTTCTCGTCATGTTGTAACTGTAAGTGTTCCAGTTTTTTCAAAGTGCTTTTACATCGCACTGCTTCGACTACTAAACTCTATTTTGTTTAGAAAAATGTGTGAATTCAGTGAAGAAAAGCATTTCTAAAAGCAGCTAAGAAAGTTGGCATTAAAAAGCCAAATGAAAAGAAAAGTTTTACAAAACAGACTTTAATTGAAAAACACAGTTAAGAGGTTTTTTTCGGTAAAAAAGTGATCTGCTTTCCAGTAGAACATTTAGAAATCGGCAAGCGTACCAGTATTACCAAGAAAAAAACAAATGTTTAACTGAAATAAAGCTAAAATTATTTTGAATTACTCGACGTTCTCGTCGACAATTGTTATGTAAAATCTAAATTTGTTGCTGTTAGTTAATACAATAGTTATACAGTTTCATATCGTCTAAATTTTTTTGGAAGAATCTACTAAGATTCTGTATATTACAATCAAAAACTTGTCCTTTGTATTAAAAAGACTTATTTTTCGTTTGCACTGGTCAACACTAAGAATTTCTTCCAATGACCAGTGTAAAAACTGTAAGAATTTCATTGAAGTAGGACAGTTGCTTTCATTTGACATTTTTATAGTTTTTTCTATTTTTTATCTTCATATCCGTGTCATTCTTGTTAATTTTTTGAGTGCACTTTTTGCCCATCCTCTTCTTACACCGACCTTTCAACCGTTTTCTTTTTTAGCACTTCATTTTTTTTAACATCAAGTCCACTACAGCAGAAAATCACATTATTATTAGTCAGGTGCATTTGTTATATGGCTTTTCTAACGTATAAGAACAAAAAATTTTTGTTGTCGAAATTGAAGATAGCTTGCAGAACCAAAAGATTTCAAGCCTTTTTCATAATTTGCAAATAAGGCAAGAGAAAGGAAAAAATATCTGGCAGATTGTCATGTTTGGTTGCCAAATTTTCTTCTTATCGCAAAAAGTATAACTTAAATCTTCCCCAAATATTTTGTTGTTCAATTCAATGTTCAATGAAACAACTAGGCTATTTTCCTACATATTTTTAACAAAGATGTTTTCGGCGCTTTCGTCATCAGAAAGAATAGACTTCCAAAAAATAACTAAGCAGAGCGGAATCAGGAGTATTAAGTTGCCAAATTTTCTTCTTATTGCAAAAAGTGTAACTTAAATCTTTCCCAATATTTTGTTGTTTAATTTAATAACGAAGACGTTTTTGGTGCTTTCGTCATCAGAAAAAATAGACTTCCGAAAAATAAGTAAGCAGAGCGGAATCAAAAGTAATAAGTCAATTTTTGCCAAAAAAAACGTCCTTCTTGCCTCAGCCTTATATCATGCTTCTTGTTTATATCACATTTTTGATAGAGTTTATATTACGACTGTAAGAATGAAGAAAAAAAAGTAGACAGAAACAGAACTAATAAAAAATATTCTTTTTTCTCTCTTGATCTTCTAACTAAAACAGAACAACAATGACAATTTTGATTCTAAGAGTAAAAAAATTTTGTAGCTTGCTCCCCCAAAGCTGTTATTCAAAAAAGAGAAATATCAAAAACCGCTGGAAAAAAATCTTTATCTCAAATATTACAAAGCCTATATAATGGACCTTTTAGAACTGTTCGGTAAGTTGGAAATTGATTCTTCTTTTCTTAGCTCTTACAAATGTCATTTCTGTTGAATAATGGCTAACTTAGTTCGAAACAATCAGCTTTTTGACTAGACGATTAAGCACTGTTTCCAATCTTTCCAGTTCTAGTGTTTAGCTTTCTTTACTAGAATACGTTTCTCAGTGCACATGTGTTGTGAATATATGGCTTGAAGTCACCACTTCAGGTGCGGAAAGAGAGGTCATCGAGGATGCCGTAGAAAACATAATAAATTTTGAATCGGCGCTTGCCGCTGTAAGGAAATTTGACTTGTTTTACTTTTTTCCCTCAATTTTAATAACGAAGCCTTCAAAAAAATGTTAACAGAAATCTGAAAAATCTCGAGAATTTAATTAAACTTTTATTTGAGTTGAAACAATTACTGAATCACCCAGCCTTTGATCAATGATGTCTCAGCTGCTGTAACATAAACAAGCAGGCTTCTGAGCTCACCGCTATCGACGCGTCGTAACTCTATATAAACCTGTAAACTTTCAGCTCACTGAAGGAGAAAATGGCTACAATCATTCTGGCGACAATCAGATGACATTGCTTCAGTTTCGTAAAAGTTTTACCAAGGTTTATTAGTTTTTCCAATTGTGCCATAATTGACTGTGGACCAATGAAATGTTAAACCCTAAACTTTTTGAAAATTTTGATTCAGATTAATCTTGATATGTATCTGAATGAAGAGTTACTTCGCTATCTATTACCGCTTCCTGGTGACTCTCTCATAAACATTATAGACGTCGATTACTTTACACAAATAACTGAACTCCTTGGAAAGACTAGGCTCCAGTAGGTTTCTTTCAATGTTTTTTCAGGTGGAAAATAACTTCAGCTTTTGACAATCGATTTTTTTAACTCGACTGCTCTTCCACTGTTTCTAAAATAAGCGCAATTGTAAATTAGGTGAATACACCTTTTTCTACAAAGTTACAATATTTAAATTGATTAGTACCATAATTCAAAACGTAAGCAGTAGCTTCATACTTGTCCACGTCTGGTACTTGACTGTTACGAAAAAAAAAACTAGGTTTTATAAAGCGCTTTCTTGCATTTAGAACCATAAACGATTACATGTTTTGGAAGTTTCTGTCATCTTATGACGTCTACCTTCCCGCACGTTACCGGGTTCCTCATGAAAACTTCCAAATTAAATTAACAGGAAAATATCCACGTGTTGGATGGCAAAACTGTGTCGACTTAACACGTAATAATTTGGGAATGCCGTTAGCTTCCGGCTATATTGCGAAATACTTTAGCTGGGAAAAGAGGCATCAAGTAAACGTCTAACATTAATTTTATTTCCTTTTTTTGGGAAAATCTGCTAACAGTTGAATAATAAAAAGAATTATTCGCAAAAAAGTATTTGGATTTACGTTGGTCATCGTCATTTCATCAAAAATAAGAAAATTTCTATTCTGCTCTGCTTCATCTGTTGTTTAAATAACTAGCGTCTAAAAGTACCTAAAAATGCATCATTTCAGTCATATTTTAGGCTAACGAAATTGTGGGTGATATTAAGACTGCACTAGAAAATACACTGCTGAACGCTGACTGGATGGATGAGAAAACTCGTGATGCAGCACTTTCAAAATTGAACAATATGAAGCGCAAAATAGGTTTTCCTGACTATATAACCAATCAGGCCCTCGTTCTGAAACCATATGCCGGTGTTCGAATTACCGCTAATACGTTCTTTGAAAATTCTCTTACTTTACGAAAAGTTTATGTTAGGTGAGGAGTAAAAGAAAGTATTACACAGTGTGACAAATTCCTATTTGAATTGTACGCTTTATTTTTTATAGGCAAATGTAAAGCAAAAAGCCTAAAAACAATTATTGAAATTATGGTAATAAGTAACGAATAATACAGATTTGATTTCTGGGCGGTAGTTTGAAAACAGAATAATTCATTTTCTCGATATAAGTCAAAAAGAGCCGTCTTACAGCTTGCTTTTTAGAGAAAATTTGTCGAAACTTCATCGAGTCAGGAGTCTCGATGACTGGTTAACGCCAGTTATCTCAGCTAACACTTACCACTATTTTGGAGGCAATGAAATCAGTTAGTCATAATTTTCCGTATATTCTTGACCAAAACTTTTTTCTTTCATCACCGATTATACTTTTTTCTTTTTTAGTATTTCCAGCTGGTATCCTACAATATCCATTGTTTATCCTTGGAGTACCCAGTTATATCAATTATGGAGCTATTGGAATGAACGTCGGTTACGAAATGACTCACGGATTTGATGATATAGGTATTTTTCTGAGGTGTTTCTGTTTCCTGATGTAAATTATAACTCTGACGGCACTGTATTTTAAGGCGCACAATACGATGAAAATGGCAATTTTCAAACATGGTGGCACGCAGAGACCGAAAATATCTTCAACTCCAAGAAACAATGTTTCATTGCCCAATATGGCAGTAAAATGGAACCATTTACAGAGAAAAAGGTTCACTTATCTCATACCACACTGTGCGAAGTAACTCATTTCTTATAACACCACCGTAAACATTCGATTCACTGTTGGCCACTAAACATCGATTGTACAGCAGTAGTTATCAAAAATTCCTTTTGGTGGAATAAGACTTGAGAACAATTTGTCTAGTTAGCTTTTAAGCAGCGATAAGCAAAAATAAGTAGAGAGAAAGTTTTTGTTGCTGTAAAAAATTGGATAATTTTCAGCTTGATGGACGATTAACAGTTACTGAAAATGTGGCCGATAATGGTGGTCTTCGAATCGCTTACAGCGTATGTGCATAGTTCTTTCCAAATTGACAACAGCAAAATTTGCTTGTAGTAAAAAAAAAAATGCATAACAAAAACCAGGAAAATCTTTAGAAATGTAACTGGTTAAAAAAGCTTGGAGAACAGACAACTACAAAATAACGAACAAATTTTAGGCTTACCAGATACATGCAACAAGGCAACCTGACTTAGAACGTTTGCCAGGCCTAACCAACTACACAGATGATCAACTGTTTTTTATCGCATTTGCTAATGTAAGAGTACAAGAAAAAAATTTAAGTTTCTTGAAACTGAAAATTTAAGCACTTTCTTGAAACTAAAAAACTGTTCAATATTGCTGCAATCTTTGACAGACTTAATAAACACTGCAGCAGAATATTGTGCTAGTAAATGTTACTCGTAATTGATAACATTTTTAGCAAAAAGTATATTATACTTTGACAGAATATGTTTTGCAACGATCACAGTAGTTCACTGAAAACTTCTTAAACAAACACTTCATAGCTTTCCATCACTGGTGTTTATTATGTGTTGCAGAGTTGGTGTGAAACTCTAAAACCAAACGCTATCGAAAGTATATTGGAGACGTCTACACGATCATTAGGAATGTTCCGGCAAGTTTATATTATTTCCAAGACAATACCCAATTTTTCTTTCAAATTTTGATTGCGAACGGAAAGAGCTTAAAAAGTATGTAAGGAAGCGTTCAAAAATACCCAGGTTTACTTGCTGAAAAATTTTGGTCTAGGTTAACAAGAGCGCAAAAAATATGCTTAGCAAAAGATTGCTGATCGTGATATTTTTGTTTACCAGTAATGTTTCAGAGAACTGCTGCTAGATTTTGCTGGTTGAATGATTGCATTAAAAAAAAGATTAATTATTATATTTTTTTTTGGGTGGTAGAAATGCATTTGCGTACAAAGACTACTGCACAATATATCGAAAATGCTGAACATTTTTCATACTAATCATAACAGAAGGAAAAGTGAATCAATGTTAAGCAAAAATGACAAGACAAATACAATTATTAAAAAAATAAATCAACCATATGAGCTATGCTCAGTGCTCATCGTTCAGCATAGAAACTTCCTGTTTCTAGGGTCAATATACCGCTGCAAAACTTTCCAGCTTTTTCACAGGCGTTTCAGTGCCCAATTGGTAGTGGCATGAACCCATTCGAGAAATGCCGTATTTGGTAGTCTTGGAAAACCTATATTATTGTTGTACGTTCAAAAGTATTGTTGATTGCTCTTTGACAGATTCGGGTATTATTTCCAAATGTTGTTTTAGCTCTTGAAAAATTTTTTTGCGCAAATAAAATTGAGAGAGCCTTAAACAAATTGACACAACATGATACTGAGTTTTTAGATTTCCAGAGAATGTTTTACTGTTAGCAAAAAGTTCCAAACTTCTTTTTACCTTTATATCCCGATGACATATATCTAAATACAAGAAATACAAGTTTTAAAGCGACACTGTAATATATCTGTCTGATCATTTCTTGGCACTCTTGTCGATTGACGGCCCCAGCGCGCTGATTGGCTAGCTGGTTTTTGGAGGGAAAGTTGAGGAAGGGGACAGTGAAGGGGACAGCGGCAAATGGGAAGGGGACAGCTGGAAAGGGACGGGGAGAGCGGCAATGAGAAGCTGCGCCGCCGCAACGTCACTCGCTTATTTGCTTGTTTATGTACATCTTAAAACGCTCGCTTGGGTGTGGTAGCGCTCCCACTCTCCGTACTGAAGGATCGGGTTTTGGATCCGCCAACCTTGCGACGTAGCGATGCAGCATTGCTTACACTTTTCATGCTATACCTTCTGGTTTACAATTTGTGACTGTGATT